GCAACGTCCCTCACATGAATAACCACATGCAGGCAAATAAGTGAACTTTCTATATTGACATGAGAACCTTCTATGTGTACATGAGAGTCATGCATATGCATATATGGAAGTCGTAGTTATAGGACTTTACTTTACTATACACTTACCAGCACAATAAAAAGTAACAAAAAGAGCAAATAAACAAAGTAAAACAAAGAACAGCAACAACACCAAGTCAAAATGTACAAAAAACAACAACAACAACAGACCAACAAAACTACAGCTGAAACTCTATCAAGCGCCTACACGGGACTTTGATAGCCAGGTGGCAGCTTAATAGAGGTKGGCCTCGTCTTCTTTGATAGAGGTTTTTATTCTTATTTGTTTAGGCGGCTAGAGGCTACTTTCTAGACTTGCCTACTGGTTTTATTGACCGAATGTCTACAGCAAGATCAAAAATTAATTGATTGGTGGATCATTATTTTATTTTCAATACAATCACAAAACTACAGTTGATTCATGACATGTGAACAAGATAATGACGGTACATCTACGATACGGGTTCATTCGATCAAAGCACTAGTGACTTTCCATTGTTATCATGTTGGTGTGAATTTCATAGATATCACTATAGACAACAAACCTAAACAGGCCCCCACGCAAACCCAAACTAAGAACTTCTGCATACAGAATTAAAAATATTACGAATAATAATAATAGCTGATCACTTTAGTAACAATGACTGTCAAAATTGACTCAAAAAATTGAAATTGAGATTTATGATACTATAAATTAGAGACCTAATTCATCATCATTGTTTCCCAGTCATACAAATTAAAACGACTCTACAGGTATTTGATACTAAGCTGATATAAGTAGACTTGCTATTTACTACGCCGGGTATATAATCATAGTCTAGTTGTTTAGGTCGTTAGGCCGTAGTCTCATAGAAGACTTCGACATCACTTGGTGTGAACTTGAGCTGACCAACAAAGAAATAAGGACATGAGATACAGCCAGGGGGGGTTTGGTAGGCATAGCCAAGACTTGAGTGGGAATTGTAGTTACTCGATGCGTTATTTGAGATATAAAGGGCATAATAGTAGTAACAACCAAACGTTGGTCCATTCGTAGCATAACCATTAATAACATTTTTTTCGCTACCTGTCATGTTCAACCGCACGGGCATATATCCTTTGATGTTGTACAGCGAGTACAGGAACGACCGACTTGAAGAAAAAGAACAGCCACCATTCTCTAAAACAAACAATTGTACATTATTTATTATTGATTGACAATGAGTGTTTTTGTTGCTTTTTATATCGTGATTTCTCATCGTGAAAGTACAAAAGATCGAGAATGTTCCCAAACATGATTGTAATCCTCGTGGCTGATCACTGT